TAAAAAAATATTATAAATTTAAATATAAATATAATATTAATTAAATATATTTATATTAAATTAATAAATTTATATATATTAATAAAAAAAAATAACTAATATACCTTTTTAATAAATAAAATAAACATATATAATTTAACTTTTTAAAATATAAACCGTAAATAATTTTTTTAATATTTATATAATATTAATTTTATAATTAAATTTTTTTTTATAATAATTAATAATAATTAATACTTTAAGTCTACCTTTCTTACCTAATTAAACCAATCACATAATTTATAAGTAATTTTTATCTAATTAATTAAAATAACCTAAACTTTAAAAACAACCTATTTAAAAACCCCTCCTAAAGTCGGGCAAATCAAACATCCACGAAGGATAATTCCCTTTTTTCTTTTATCCCTCTCCGTCCAAGTCGAGTTATGAAAAATTCGGTCTTTTTATTTTCAACAAGCACCTTGGCCAATAATCTACCGATTTAAATTAGACGGTCACATTTGCTTGTGATCGCATCGAAAAAATAACCCCCGGTCGCTACATTATCGTAAAAGGCAAGCAGCCTAAGCGGGGTAGATTTTCTTCATCTAATCCATCCATCTATTCATCTATTCATCTATCCATTCCTTATTTCATCACCATCCTTATCACCATCACCATCACCATCACCATCAAATAAAAAAAAGGATAAAAAAACGTCAAGATGGTTTCGGCATCCAAAGAGAAGCGTCTCGCCAAGAAGGCTGCCGACGGTAAGGGTGAGAAGAAGACTCTCGTGTCCCGATCCAAAGCTGGCTCCAAGGCTACATCCAAGAATGCGAGCGCTACTGGTTCCGTAGCTGGCGATGACCCTCCCGACCCCGATGATGTTCCCGCAACCGACGACACCAAGATGGAAACGGTCAAGGCCTTGTCGGATCAAAAGGACAAGCACGGTTTATCTGACCGCATCACCACCGGTGTCTTGGCCTCTGTAACTACCAGCAGAGATGTCAAGATTATCAGTGCCAGCTTAACCTTCCACGGTCGTGTTCTACTCAACGAGACTTCCCTCGAATTATCCTTCGGTCGTCGTTATGGATTGTTGGGTGAGAACGGTTGCGGAAAGAGTACTCTTCTAAAAGCTATTGCCGCCCGAGAGTATCCTATCCCCGACCACGTCGACATCTACCTCCTCAACGAAGGTGCTCCTCCTTCCGAGCTGGGTGCTCTGGAATGGGTTCTCAAGGAAGCTGAGAAGGAGATGGACCGTCTAGATCGGAAAGCCGAGCAGCTACTCGAGGACGAAGGTCCCGACAGTCCCGTGTTGATGGATATCTACGAGCACATGGACAAGATGGACCCCTCCACTTTCGCTACCCGTGCCTCTCTCATCCTGACCGGTCTCGGTTTCAACAAGGTGACCATCCACAAGAAGACTAAGGATATGTCTGGTGGTTGGCGTATGCGTGTTGCTCTTGCTAAGGCTCTCTTCGTCAAGCCCACCCTGCTACTTCTTGATGACCCTACTGCGCATTTGGATCTCGAGGCCTGTGTGTGGCTCGAAGAGTATCTGAAGAAGTGGGAGCGAACCCTGATCTTGGTTTCTCACTCGCAGGATTTCTTGAACGGTGTCTGCACCACCATGCTCGATATGCGAAAGCAGCAGCTCATGTACTACGGCGGTAACTTTGACTCGTACGTAAAGACCCGCAAGGAACAGGAGACCAACCAGATGACGGCCTACAAGAAGCAGCAAGAAGAGATCAAGCACATCAAGGAGTTCATTGCCAGCGCAGGTACCTACGCCAACTTGGTGAGACAGGCCAAGTCCCGACAGAAGATCCTCGACAAGATGATTGCCGACGGTCTCATCGAGGAAGTCAAGGAGGAGAGGGAGTTCAAGTTCAGATTCACCGACGTCGACAAGCTACCTCCTCCCGTCCTGTCCTTTGATGATGTTACCTTCTCCTACTCGGGCGAGGCCAAGGATGATCTCTACCGCAACATCGATCTCGGTTTCGACATGGACTCCCGTACCGCCCTTGTCGGTCCCAACGGTGTCGGAAAGAGTACTCTTCTACGCCTGATGACGGGCAAGATCTCCCCAACTTCCGGTTCTGTCCGTCGCCACACACATCTGAAGCTCGGATTGTACTCTCAACACAGCGCTGAGCAACTCGACCTAACCAAGAGTGCTCTGGACTTCGTCCGTGACAAATACCGAGAGAAGTCACAAGACTACCAATACTGGCGACAGTCCCTTGGCCGATACGGAGTGTCTGGCCCCGTCCAGACCGCCCTGATGGGTACCCTATCCGAAGGTCAGAAGAGTCGAATCGTCTTTGCCCTGCTTGCCATCGACTCCCCCAACTTGCTTCTTCTCGACGAGCCCACAAACGGTCTGGATATCCCGACGATCGATGCCTTGGCAGATGCCATCGAGAACTTCACCGGCGGTGTCATTGTGGTTTCCCACGACTTCCGGTAAGATCTAGTCTCGCAAACAGAATATAGAATCCAATGCTAACATGTATCACAGATTGCTCGACAGAATTGCCAAGCAAATCCTGGTGTGCGAGAACCGATCGATCAAGGCCTGGGACGGCTCGATAGGAGAGTACAAGAACTACCTGCGAAAGAAGATGTTTGCCTCCGGCGCCGTCTAAACCCCTTCTTTCACATCATACTACACTCTTGAATTCGGTCCACCGTGCGGACATATCCACCAACGGAGGATTCTCCGTTCGTGCTGTCGTGCAAATCGGAAGCCAAGGATTACGCAAACATGTGCAGGATCGCGGCCCCGGATTTCTATGGATTGGGCAACGAGGCATCAGGGCGTGGCCTTTGGTTGGTTCCGATAAATAAAAGCTTGCCTTTGCGTTAGGGAGACCTAGGTACTTAGGGAGGGAGGGCTTTGCGAACCTGCGACGAAATGACGATTGCAGGCACGTGATGAGCTCCTAGGAACAGGCCCCCCAGGGATAGACTAGATGAATTACACCTTTTTCTCTACTATTCTCTACTATGATTCTGTGAGATGCGAGTTTCTGGTGAATTTGTGGTGAATCTTGTTGGAGCTGTGTGGATGGTGTTTGTGGTGTTTGAGGTGACAACCACATCGTCATTATCGCCATCACCACCACCGTCGCCGGTCCTCTATTTGCCGTGTTTAAATCTAGGAAATTTGCCTCACAACCATCTGCCCATTAAACCACCTTGGCTAACCTAAGGCAGCTACAAGCTATGCAAAATTTTCCATGCTTGCTCCACTACCGAGTCCAAACTGAGCTATTAATGGCCAATACGCCACGGTTGACTCAACTAAATGGATCAGTGCCACCCATATCCAGGGCTTCCTGGCCTAATGGTAAGGCGTCTGACTACGAGTCGAGCAATACTAATCAAACAATACTTGCTTGCTTACTTGCTTGCTTGCTCCGGGACATCAGGAGATTGTCGGTTCGACCCCGGCGGAAGTCATTTCTGTCTCAACTTTTTTGTCTCTGTAATTCTTTTGATTAGGTAGTGAGTGGATGGTAGGTGCTTGGACGGGGCTACTCGGGAGACTAGGCCATGTCGGCGGGTCGTGGATGTGTGCCTAACCATCGAACAGGACAGACAATTTTACTATGGAAAGAATTGGGGTTGGGTGGGCATTGGGTAGAACGTCTATCCATAGCTTTCGGCAGTAGAGATCGTCTTATCCACCATACAATTATCACTAGCTAGTTTGCGTAGAGGGAGGGTTCTGCTCCCAAGCTCAGTTACGAAAGTCATCTCTTCTCAGTTCACTCGCGCTGCGTATCCGTACTACTTGGTCATGGCAAAACGTTCGTTTACTCATATGGAGGCATGCCAAGTTCAGCAAAGCAAAGGTCACATCGTCATCATTCACTCAAGCACTACCAATCACTCATCGGTCACCTTCCACGCTGCCAGGTCAAGTCAAGTCAACTTAACTCAATATCAATATCAACGCCACGACGACGGATCATGCATGTAAATTTCCACGACTCGACTGAGTAACTGACCATCCTTCTTCTATCGTAATCCTACAACGATACGACCCGGGGGGTGTCCTGCCTAACTTTGCGCGCGTGCTTTATGACGAGAAAAAAAAGAACTTGTGATGGTGAAGAATAATTAAAGCAAATCCGGGGGTTTTGCAAAGTCTAGTCGCCTATTGCAACAACAGTTTTTTTGGGCCGACTCCCCCCTTTCGCACGATTTCTCTCCCCTACAAAATGCACGATTGTCGGGTGGCTCTAATGGATGCGTTATGTTTTCGTCCCCCCTCGGAGCCTATCCCTGCGAATAGTCCATACCAATGTAACGCCGCAATACCCTTCTTTTTGTACAAGGCCTCCTTTGTCAACTTCTGTTGCGAGAAGCGCTCTTTCACGTTCTGATAGTAGTAGTATGTTGATTAAGAACACGGGCCATATTGGGTGTTCAGATATCGATCTCGCCGTCGGCAATGGCGAGCCGTTGCTTCGTCGTCTTAGCTTTCTTGCTGCCCCCCTTTCGCTTCTTTGCGGCCTTTCCGTCTTCTGCGACGACTGGAGTGACAGTACCAGTGGCAGTACCAGTGGCGGTGCCTGGAGGCTTGTTGCCATCGTCAAAATGACCCTCACCTGTAATGCAGTTAGTACGTCTAATTTAGTGACGTCAAATAGTAATTCAGGTTGACTCACCCTCGTGATACATCTCATCCAAACTGACCGCCTCCCGCTTTCTCTTGTTGCCACCCCGTTTCTTGGTTTGCTTGTCCAGTTCGCCGCTCTCCAGTAGCTCCTTCTCGCGCTGTTCGATGAGCTCAGCTTGTTCGTCGTCGGCAAGCCACATGGCAATGTCGCGGTTACGGTTCTCGGGCGGACGACGGCCACTAAAGTCCACACCCCGGGCGCCTCCTCCTTGAATGACAACGCGCTGCACTTCTTCCTTCTGCATGGCACGCTTCCGAATACGCTCTTCGATTGTGCCGCGCGTGATGAGGCGGTAGACAGTAACTTGCTTAGTCTGACCGAGACGGTGAGCACGATCCATAGCTTGGGAGTCGATGGTGGGATTCCAGTCGCTGTCGTAGAAGATAACCGTATCTGCAGCCGTAAGGTTGATACCAAGACCACCGGCACGAGTCGAAAGCAGAAAGATGAAGATATCGGAGCGCGTTTGGAAGTCTGCGACTGTGTCACGACGATCTTCCAACTTCGTAGACCCATCAAGTCGACAGTACTTGTAGTTGCGGTAGGTGAGATATTCCTCCATAAGGTCAATCATCTTGGTCATCTGGAAGTACAACAGTACGCGATGGCCTTCCTCCTTCAACTTGAACAAGAGTTGGTCAAGCTTGGCAAGCTTCCCACTGTCCGTGACGAAACGACGCATGCTGGGGACTGCGATGTTGGTGAACCGTCGTTTCTCGTTGTCTGGCGGAGGAAGCATCGCCAAAGATGGGTGACGCTCGATTGGGACTTTCTGCAACACTAGAGCCTTCTCTTCCATAGCAGTAGGTCCGTACAAGGCCTTTCGCATCGACGCGTTGAATAGTGTATCTTCACGCTCGGCGACGGGGGCTCGGGTACCCTCGAATGTGACCTCGATCGGTGGGGCAGAAGCGCCGGGCCGAGCTGCTTGCTCCAGTCGGCCAAGACCAGAATCTCGCCACGTTCCTCGAGAGATGTTCATGAGGCTATCAAGGATACCGTCACCCGTGATCTCAGTCAACGGCTTGCGGTTGGACCTTGCCTTGATCTGGAACAATGCATGAACAGGGGTGTAGTTCTCTTCACCCGGCTCATCGTATATCACGTTCATTGGGCCGAGTCGATCCTGTTTTCGGACCAGGTCTTTAGCGCGTGAGAAAATATCTTGGTGGCTTGCTTTGTAGACTTCTTCGGGGCTAGTATCCGCAAATCGAAGGAAGGAGAACGCATCGTTGCCCGAAGTGCTCTCACGTATGTTCTCCGGTGTCCAGATGTTCATAAGGTGGTTCAGGTATCTGTTCCTGAAGCCAGCTTGGACATTGTCCTTTCCGGCCTTGTTGAGTCTACCACCTTCAGTCCACACGAGGCGCGGCAACTGATAGTCGATAAGATTTCGGGTAGAGTAACCAACTGCAACATTATTCCCCTCACGGACAAACGAAGCAGTCTCGGCGAAGTAGCCGGAGAAAAAGGGGCTCGATGTGTCTGCACGCTCAAACAGGTCGGGATGGTTGCACACTTTTCGGAACTGCATGACGAGGTTCATCAGGGTTCCCGAGTCCTGGTCATCACCAAGCGTCGCCTTCTCAATGAGATCCATAATACTAATCTGGTTCCTCAAGTTTCTATACATGGCGCGCTGTCGGTAGGTGAGTTCACAGAATACGTCGAGTTCAATCTTGTCGCCGAGCTCCTTCTGCACATGCTTCTTCACACGACGCAACATGAATGGTTTGAGGATCAAATGCAGCCGCCTAAGCTGATCTTCGTTAAGAGTCGTGTTGCTTTGAGCGTGAGATTCGATGTCCTTAGAGAACCATTCGCTGAATTCGTCGTGAGAGTCGAACAAGGAAGGCATAATGAAATGCAGAAGGGCCCAAAGTTCTTGCATGTTATTCTGAATAGGAGTACCGGTGAGAAGCAGTCGGTTACGGCAGTGGAAGCCCAGCAGACACTTCCATCGGGAACTAGAAGCACTTTTGATAGCTTGTGCTTCGTCGAGGATCATGTATTGCCAACGCATCTTCTGGAAATATGCCACATCGGATACGACCAATTGGTAGGAGGTAATTAGGACGTGGAAAGGCGCATCTTTTCGGTAAGTGTTGTGCTTGCGGTCCCAGAATTTACGAAGCACCTTTCGATCGCCAGCCGTACCCCAGTAAGGCAGGACCTTGAATTCCGGTACGAACTTGGCAATCTCCTGCTGCCAGTTGTGTAGAGTAGAGGCCGGCGCGACTACAAGGTACGGGCCCCAGATATCGTGCACTTCGGCGAGGTAGGCCATGACAGAGATAGACTGGACAGTCTTGCCTAGACCCATTTCGTCGGCTAAAATACCGTTGATGCCCTGCTCGTAAAGGTTGGCAAGCCAGTTCAGACCCTTCAACTGGTATTCCTTGAGCTGGCAGTTCAGCAGCTTGGGTTGCTCGACCGTCACATCGCCAAGGCCGGTGGGGTTCTGGAAGTTCATCTCCCCATCTTCGTCCATATCGTCGTCGGTCTTGTTGAAGCTGCGTGCTTTCGCCTGAGCTTCCGCGATGGCATTCTGAGCATTGGCCATGGCAGCTGCTTTCAGGGTCTCTTCGTCCTCGGCGTCGAAATCTAACTGGTTGAAGTCGGTTACCCTCGCGCCCACAGGACCAGACGGTTCCGTAACGTCGGCATTGTTTGACTTGGACGCGATGTGACCATCCGGTGCAATATCCGGGTTGTCGGTGCTACGCTCCACCTCGTCCGTCTTGATCTTCTTGCCGATGAAATGAGAGTACAGTTCGGTCTGCGAGATCAAGAAGTTGAGCTTCCTCTTTTGACGGGCGGCTTCACGATCAGCTTCCTCTTTGCGGGCGTTCTCGAGCTCCTGCTTTTCAGCTGCTTTGCGGAGATCACGTTCCTCGCGCTCGTTGCGCTTCCAGAAGCCCATCATGTCACGCATGCAACGCTTCGCACGAGCCTGAAGGTCTTTCGTGCCTTTGTTGGTGCGAAGCTGCCAACGCTTAGCTTCTTTAGAGGCCAGTATAGCCGTCTTCTTGAGGTTGGAGGCCTTGGTGGCGTAGGAATCGCCAGCCAGCTTGAATGTCTTGGGAACATCCTTGCGGGCAAGGTCGCGCCAGATCTGATCGTAGATTTGGTTGTAGCCCTTCGATTGAAACTTGACCTCGAGAGGGTTGGCCGGAGGTTCTTCGATGAACCTTTCCTTCTCTCTGGCCTCCTTTCCAGGAGTGTCCCGACCTTCTCTTTCCTTGTCCTTTGGTTCTTTGGACGAGGACTTGCTCAACTTGATGCGAATCTTGGTCTCCTCCTTCGAGGGAAGCTCCTCGCCCGCATCCAGAGCAGCTTGGGCAGCGATGGCCGACTCCTTCTCCGCCTGCTTCTGCTCCTTAGACTTCTTAGGACGGTTGCCACTGCGGTTTTTGCTCTTAGCTTTGTTGCCGTTCTCCAAGTCCGTGGCCTGGAATGTCGACATAGTGCCTCCTTCCAGGTTGAGCTCGAGCGGTGCCAAGTTGCGCGCTGGACCCTTAATACCCTTTTGCAAGATCAGCTTGGTCTGCTGGGCCTTCTTGTTGGCCCGATCGGCATCTCGTAGCCATTTTTGTCGCTCGGCCTCGTCTTCAGCTGCCAACGCCTTTGCTAATGCAGCTTCCTTCTGTTCGATAGTTACCTGCATAGACTTCTCTCTGCGGCGCTTTCGCTGCATGTCCTTCTTGCGCTCCTTCTCGGCGAATATCTCGCGCTCTCGGACTTCTTGCAAGGCATCATCGTAGTGTAGCGTAT